GCAACACAAATTGACCCAACATGATTTGAAACAATTAACCCTCTGATATCAAGAGTCAGGATTTCCTGACCCACAACTCTAATGTATTTTTCATTAGTTCTAACAGCTGGTGAGCGCAGCCCTCTGGCCTTAAGAGGTTTATTTCCTTCTCTTTCTCTTTTATTTTCTGGAAGAGAAACTCGTCATGAGCTCGAGGAGCTTGGCACAAATGAAACATGGTGAAAGCAGAGCAGTAGGGCTGCAGTTTATGTGATTCAGTCTTTCTGTGCAGCCCCCTGCGAGTCTCACACGCTGCTGCCTCATGGAAAAATACAGTTCTGCTTCACAACTCCTGCTCTGGCTGCTCATCTCATCAATCCAGGAGTGTATTAGTTGCACTTGTGAATGTAACTTCTGGTAGCTGATTTGTTTGGAGGGAATGTGTCTGCAGCAGGGAATGGAAATCATTTGTGCCCAGCGTCGTTTGTGTCACTTGTATCTTACTTCTCAGGGTCTGCTTGTGAATTGTATTCCTTCTGCATTTGGGATTAGTGGGTGGTGTCGTTGGTGAAGGCTTGAACTGATGTGTCTGTTCCACTAACCTGTGATGATTCACAGGATTATTAAGTTAAAAACCATCAAATGAGGGATTGCAGACATGCTGTCCCTCACACTGTTCCATTGCAGGAGCCAACAAGACCAAAACCATGAGTGCTTTACTTTTTGTTGGACAAGTCACTCCACATAGGTAACCCAGCATTTATATTAACCTTAATTGCATATTTTAATACCATTTTTACAATAGACCTTTTGGCTTTTACTTGTTAGATTCACACTGTTCACATCTTGTCAAGCCCCCTGATTGGGTGGATCCTGGTTATTTTAATTTCATTTCTTAGTCTGGCATTTTCTGCTCTTGTTCTCCTTGTGCCCCCATGTGTGTTTCCCTCAGCTTCTCCACTCTCCTTGCCTTCATTCCTCGTGCTCTTTGCAGCGTTTTACACTGAATAAATGGGCATTTAAATGGGATTTCGTGTGAGCACGCTCGCTTTTCTTAGGGGCTGCTCTGCTGAGCAGTGGCCAAACCTGGAAATTACCTTGAATCTTAATTTGGATGGGTTTTGTGGGGCTTAATTGTTTGAACGTTTTGTAAGCGCGGCCGTAACGGGGTGTTTTATAACATCAGAAAAGATAGTTTTAATAAAGCTGTCTAGAGCTAGAAAGAGGAACTCTTTCTTTGATGCTCCTTTGGTAGATGAAAACATTTTTGTTCAATAGGAGACCAGCATCTTTTTTTTTGCTCATTTGAGACAAGTTCTGGCAACATACTGATATTCATTCAAATATAAATGCCATATTCCCTTTGAAATGCAAATTGTTTAAAGAAAAATAGCATATGGTAGAGGTAAGTACCTTTTCAAATCAGCTCCCACACTTTAGGGATGTGAGTACAGCTAAAATTATTCTTTGGAAAGAATCTGGAGCCTTTGACACATTGAAGCTTGAACTAATCAAGGCTTCCCAGTAAGCATATACACATATCCATATCAAGGAAACAGTGCTGAGAATACATGGATTAGCATAGTAATTTAACTGCCCCCTGCTAATCAACTTAAGCAACCAGCTGATGCATGCAGGATGCATTTGAAGAGGCAACTCTTTCACAGCTCAGCCTGGGCCAGGTAGCAGAGCAGGAGCCTGGGTGGGTGTGGAGATGGGAGTCTGTCCCTGCCTGGGGGTGCAGGATGTAAAGGCTGACCCAACACACAGGCTGTGCTGGTCATGGATCAGGGAACCACAGAGTGCTCTGGGCTGGAAGGACCCTTAAACCTCACCTGCTCCAACGCCCTGCCCTGGGCAGGGACATCTGCAGCATTTCCACTGATGCTGCTGGCCTCCTCTTCTTCACTGTCTCTGCTTGCCTGCTGAAAGGCTGAGCTGGTCTGAATTCTGTCAAGGATTTATCCCTGAGGGAAATTAAAGGAGTTTTGCCAGGTCTGGTTTGGGGTTTGCCCATTGTAGACGGGAAGAGCTGTTGGACTCTGTTGGAGAAGCTCTGGCCAGAGCAGCAGTCCTTGTTTTGGGGTGGCAGCTTTAGTGCCTGCTGTGGGGTTCATGTCGTGCAGTTGGACTGAGAAGTGGGAAAATCAGAGCTGGATTGGGAAATACTGATTTAAATAACAAGTGTTTTAAATAACAAGTTTGTGCTAGAGCTGAGCATATCAAGGAGGGGAACAGGAAAGGAAAGGCACGCTATTTTCTGTAGCCTGGCGCTTCTGATGTCTACTCAGGGATGCTGGCCTGATGGTCTGATATGCCATGAAAATGCACACCTGGCAGCATCTGGACAAAGTGGGATTTAATCCTGAATAAATATTACCATAAAAGTTGCAGGATAAAGGTTCCCAGGCTGTGGCAGTAGGAAAGAGGGAGCTGGGCTGGGTTCATCACAGTTCACTCAAGTGTCACATGAATGCACTTGGCACCTGTTTTGTGCTAGCAACCTTTGAGAGAGGTGCAGTGGAAGAAAAATTCTGCCTTGTTTCCCAGAACAAGTCACTTCTGAACAGGTTCATGTCTCAGCGTGGGGCTGGAGCTGCCTCAGATGGCATTGAGGGGAGAGGAGAGCTTTTGGTGCTGGCACGATGGCACAGAAACCTTGATGGTCTCTTCTCTAGGTGTTGGTTTTGCATCATGGTCAGAAGGTGATGGGACTCTTGTGTTCAGAAGCTTGTGGGCTAGGTAGGAGATGTCAGCACAAAAATATCACTGCTGGTGTTGTGTCTGTGCTGGCCTCAATCTCAAGCTGGTAGAACCCACTCACTCTCAAACTCTTGTCACTCACTCACATCAGCCATTCCCTTTGATTTGGTGGTTCATCAAAGCTATTTATTAATATCCATCATTTTTGTGGATTGTGAAAAGCAGAGGAAAAGGGGATTTCGTAGTGAGCATTGCAGAAGCTGATTTGGAAGGAGAGATTTCTATTAAGGCAGCCAAAATGCAACTTTGGTCAGCTCATGTTTTCATTTCCTGTTGTGGTTTTAAAATACTGAATTGCAGTTTAGTCCTCTGCTCTGTAGTCTCATGCCTTGGGAGGTCCCAACAAGGTTCCAAAACCCACCTTAGACTCTGCATAACGAAACAAATGAGTTTTTCTGTCTATATATTTCATTTCAAAGCAGGGATTGCCAGGCAGAAGTTCTGGAGGGCTGAGTAAGTGCATTGAAGACACAGATACTGTGATGGATCTGTGCTAAGGACTAAAGAGGAGATTTTGTCTTGGGAAAGGGGAGGAGAGAAAGGGACAATTATGCCAACTCTAATAAACACAAAGTAGTTCACTAAGCTCTGCTGTCTTCCCAAAGGCTGCTCTGGGAAAAGACATAATGATAGAACTGGGAGTCAGGAGATCTGGGTTTTATTTTCAAGTCTGCCACAATCTTCCTTTGTGGCCCTGGGTCATTTAACCTCTGAAAAATGGGGGAAATGATAGCAGATAATTAACAACCTCACAGGAGCATTGAAAATTAATTCATTAATTTTTCTGAACTCATCAGTAGAAGGTGCAATGGAAATGCAAAGTGTGAGGGTGCGTTATAACACTGCGTCTGTTCCCTTCCCTTTGCATGTGTTTTTTAAGAGTGTTCTTCAATCCAGAGAGGACCTGTGGGGCACCTTTAGAGAGCCTGTCACAAGGAATGAAACTGTAAATTCTTTGTGCCTTTATGATATGCAAGGCCTGTGGCTAGGGATGGAGTAAAATGTGCTCAGAACCCAAAACAGTGGTGCAGGTTTTGGCCCATAGCAAGTTGTGAGTAAGACCATCAGAAACTTGAGTTTCTGGAAAGGTTTTAATTGTTTCTGCTCTAAAATGTATTCAAGCAGATCCCACTTGTCCTGTTTTATGGTGAGAAACCCGTCCCTGTCACTCCCCCTTGCACACAGCTCCCAGCATTTTAATGTCCTAGGCCTCAGTGATTGTGAAAATACAGAAGTGTTTGCTGGGTAAAGGCTGTTCTTTGTGTGTCCCCTTTTGTGTCACATTCCTGGGAGCAGCCCCAGGAATGATACTTGCATTCACTCCAACGTCTGCTTCGTGTCATGATGTTGTTTTAAGATTAAATGTCCAATAAAGTTGTTTTTTCCACTTGGTCTCTCAGTGCTGGCAGTCCTTTGCTCCCCATCATGTGTTCTTGGGGGACATACCTGTGTCAGGTATTATTTAGAGGCAGATTGTTTTAAGCTCCTGGAGTTGGCTCAGTTGTATAAACAGTGGCTTTTAGGAATAAACTGATGTGGCATTCACATTCTCTGATAAAATCCCTTCACCCAGGATTTTTCTCCTGGGAAGCTGAGGAGCCTCAGAGAAAAGGAAAACAATTCTGATCTCATTTGCTTCTCCTGTGCTGTGCTCATGTGGAATGTGTTTGGGGATTGTTCACCCACAGGTGATTGTTCCATTGGGTTCTGCTGGGAGTTGTTTTGGCTCTTTGGCCAATCAGGGCCAAGCTGTGTCAGACTCTGGAGAGTCAGGAGTTTTCATTATTATCTTTTAGCATTCAGTATCCTTTCTGTATTCTTTAGTATAGTATATAATTCTTTAATATAATATAGTATGATAAGGTACTAAATTAGTTTTCTGAGAACGTGAAGTCAGATTCATCATTCCTGACTTCATTGGGGCATTCCCAGCAAATACAATAAAATTGATTTTCTGTGCCCAGTCTAAGAAGCAGAGAAGCTCCAGAGACAGTGCCTGGTAGCAGAGTGGTGGAAGACCATGTTTCCCAGAAGGTAAATGAACAGAATGAGGTGATACCATGAAAAACTTGGCTTTTTTTGTCTTCTTAGCTGGATTGGAGCTGGTCTCAGGACCGTCAGCTCCGGCGCTTCAGGGAGGGTCGTTGTGTGGGTGAAGTTACCCATTCTTTGTGCTCATTAAGCACCCCCCATCCATCCTGACACAAAACCCCTCCTGTGCTCTCTATTGACACGATTTGTTTTCCCTTTGTGCCTAGGGAACGTGACTACTAGCACATCTGTGTCTCAGATGGCCAGTGGGATCAGTCTGGTGTCCTTCAACAGCCGCCCGGACGGTTTGCACCAGCGCTCCTACTCGGTCTCCAGTGCAGATCAGTGGAGCGAGGCCACAGTCATTGCCAACTCTGGCATTAGCAGTGGTAAGAAACCTGCAGCTTGGGGGTTCACATGCCTTGGGGTGAAGGGGGACTCTGGTGCTCTTGGTTTTTTCCCAAAAGGGAAAAAAAAGGGAATGAAATGGCACCCAGCGTGTTGTGGTATTGGGTGCTGAACTGGCAGAGTCTGAGGGGAAAATTGGAATTAGAAAAAGGGAATGGATTAACTTTAAACATTGACTTTTTTATGTGGGCAAGGGGAATGGCTTTAAACAGAAGGAGAGGAGGTTTAGCTTCAATATTAGGGAGCAATCCTTCCCTGAGAGGATGGTGGCATTAGCAGTGGTGAGAAACCTGGAGCTTTGGGGATCCCACGTGCCTCGGGGTCAAGGGGGACTCTGGTGCTCTTGGTTTTTTCCAAAAGGGAAAAAAAAGGAAACAAAATGGTGCCCACACCATTGTGCTGTTGGGTGCTGAACTTGCAGAGAGAAAAGTTGGAATTAGAAAGAATGGGAATGGATTAACTTTGACCTTTTTTGTGTGACAGAGCAAGGGGGAATGGCTGTAAACTGAAAGAAAGGAGGTTTAGCTTGGATATTAGGGAGCAATCCTTCCCTGAGAGGATGGTGAGGCCCTGCAGAGGTTGCCCAGAAAAGCTGTGGCTGCCCAGGGAGTGTCCAAGGCCATTCTGGATGGGACTTGGAGGAGCCTGAGACAATTCTGGGATACTTTTTTCAATATGAAAAGCTAATGTAGTTGCAATGCTGCTTAATTTTAATTTCAGGTGCATAATCATAGGATCCCAGAATGGTCTGGGTTGGAAGGGACCTTCAAACCCATCATCCCTGCCATGGGCAGGGACACCTTCCACTGTCCCAGGTTGCTCCAAGCCCCATCCAGCCTGGCCCTGGACACTGCCAGGGATGGAGCAGCCACATAATTAATGTGTGTTGTTTGCTTGACACTCAGATTCCTTGCCCTGTGTGATGGATATTAGCAGTAAATGACCCTCCAGATCCTCTCCTCAGTGTGTCCTTTCTCTGCTGTGCTCCTGCTCCACACTCTTAGTGTTTCCTCTGTGGAGCATTTAACAGCGTTAAAAGGAGCAGCACTATTCCTGGTGGTGGTTTGGAATTATTAGGTTGTAGCAATAATTGTTTTTAAAGGGTAGATGTGATGTTTGCTACCAGACCAGGGTGAACAGGTCAGGAGAAAGGGGAGGAATGCAGTTTCTGATGGCTGCCCCTAAAATGGGAGCAGTGAGGGGAATACGGGAACTGTTTCACATGTCCCACATATATCTCTGTGTCTGTGAAAGGTCTGAACCTGAGTATAGCCCTGAGAGCATCTCTGGGCAGGTTTTTAGTGCCACCTTAGGAGAGCAGAGGGTTTAAAACCATGACCACCGTGTTTCAGAGTGACATTAACTATCAAATTCACACTTAGCACAGCACAGACCTTTTCCTGGAGCTGCAAACATGGGGGCAGCACCTTCAGGAGAATTGGCATTAAAATGCTCCAGATGTTGCCTGGGAGTTTTCTGCTTGAGCCTTGCAGGAAGGCAGGGGTGTTGTGAAGCAGCACAGTGAAACAAATGCTCCAGCCCTGTTCTCTGTGTGCACTTCACTCCTGGGGAAGCTTTAGGGGAGGCAGCACTGCCCTGCATGGATGCCGAGCTGGTTTCCATCTTTAAATCATACATTTTCTGCCTCCTTTTCCTGAACTGCTTGCTCATTTCAATCCACCCCAGCTCCACCTCCCTTCTGGAAGGTTAGACCAAAATTTGGGCTTTTTGTGCCTTTTATCTGTGGCTTTTCTAAGGCAAGATGAGGAATGTTAGGTGCTGCTGTAGGGGGAAAGCAGGGGCTGCAGGCTGCAGTACTGTGCCCCTGACACACCTGCAGGCAGGTGAGCAGGTGCCATCCCCGTGCCACGTGTCCCAAGTGAGGCTGCAGGGGAGAAAAACCTCCAAAATTCAGTGAACTCCTACCCTGGAGTGGAAATAAAATCTTAAAAATGAGAAATATCCCCTGAATTCTTGCCTTTGCCATCCCCTTGACTTCACAATGCTGGGGTTGCTGGACTTGCCTTTTGCTCCTGCTGCTGGTTTGCAATTCCTGGTGAAGGGAGCCTGTTCTCCCACCCCAGCCCTGCACTCTTCCATATGTGCAGTACCTGTTTCTGACTTGACATTCGTGTGGGATTACTTCTGGCTCAAAAGAGATGACAGCCAGAATTACCTGTGAAATACTTATTTTGAAATTGCAGGTGTCTGCTGGGTGCTTGTGAAGAAGCGTACCTCAAATAATTTCTTGCAGAGGTTCTAGTATTTAAAATATTTTTGAGGGGTTGTTTTTTTATAAATATGGAGGGAAAACTGGATTAAAAACGAGTTTTAGGCAGCAGACTCAGAAGTATTGCACTAAAACTCCTGCAAAACCTCAAGAATAATTGATTGCTCTGAGTGTATCATCTTTGGGTAAGCTCAGAGATGTGGCCTTTATGTTGGCAAGTTGACGCATGAAAAACCCTTTTTAATTTCTGGGGGTTTTTTCTCCATTAAAAGATTTTTGAATTTTAGTCATAAAAAGCTAATACTGTGAAAGCAGCAGGTATGGCAAGAAGCTAAGCATCTTTTGGAATTCAAATGCCAATGTACTGGAGAATATGCCTGCTTATTGTCACGTGGTTTTATTGTAGACAAAATAACATATTGGGATTCAATTTTTCTCTGCACCTTTTTTTCACATTAAATTAATACTTTGTGTGGCTCCAGAGAACTTTTCAAAGTCTTCCAAACCAGACCTTTGGTTTCCTGGGGCTTCTGTCTTTCAAGCAGCTGTGAACATCTCCTAATTAGATAAATTACTTTGTAGTGGGCAGAGCCACAAAACAGGAGGTGCTGGTTAAATTAAAGGGGAAAAATAGAAAAATCCATTCTCTGAAATGGAATGCCCCACTGCTTTATGACTATTACTGTTGTAAGGTTTTACATTTAAGTACCTGAGGTTTAAAATTAAATGTCTAATATAATTTGGTGCTGGTAACATGAAGCCTGTGCCTGCCCTGGGAGAAAATCTCGACAGCTTAGTTTGGTGTTTCAAATTGCTGCGTGCTGGATAGTGAGCAGCTCGTGCTGCTGGCTCACTATTTAGCTCACTCCCACCTGCTGTTCAGCATCATTTCCAATGCAGGAACATATTTGCCTTAAAAACTCCCCAAATTTCAAAAGGCTGTTCCAGCAGCACATGAAAAATTAATTCTTTTTGCCTTTTTTCCTCTTTTTTATTTTTTTTTCCTTCCCCCTTCTCCTCCGTGCTCTTGTAAGTGCTTGACAGAAGTAATTTTAGCAGCAAGAGAGAATAAAAACTGGGGGCAGTAAATCCCTGTCCAGGAACCTCTTGTGTAGATTCTTTATGGAGCCAGAATTGATCTGCGTGTCAGATCCTGATGTAGTTTCAACTGTTTATCACCCTAATGGTGGTAGAGAGACCATGAACATCAACTTATAATCCCCCATGAAAGAAATTGGTGTTTGCAGTCAATGAAGGAGCAGCTCAGCTTTATTGATAGATTTGGAACAATTACTGCTGCTCCAGCTATTGGCCCAGAGGTTTTCCTGGATCCCACTGGAAGCCTGCGATGTTTTTTCCTCTGATAAATCTCCTCCTTGATGTTTTGTTGGGGTTTTTTTTTTTCTTTTATCACCCAAAATTATTTGTGATTGCTCATTGCTGGGGCACAGGAGGGTTTCTGCTCTCAGGGGAGCCATTTGTGACCTGTTTGGGTGTTAAAGTTCTGCTCTGGATTGTTCATCCCACAATTCCTCCTCTGTAAATCCAGCTGTTATTTGCATAAAATCACAACTTGGAAAATTGTGATTTTTACTTGGAAAAACCCTCAAATATCATCAAGTCCAACCCTTAACCCAGCACTGCCAAGCCCACCACTAATCCCTGTCAATAAGTGCCAAATCCAAACATTCTTTGAACACTTCTAGGGATGATGGAAGTGTTCCACCCTTTCCCTGGGCACCCTGTGCCAGTGAGGAAATTTTCCTGCCAGGAGGGGAGCCAGGAACAGGGACAGGAGGAGAGGGAATGGCCTCAGGCTGGGCTGGGCAGGCTCAGGTTGGACATAAGCAGGAATTTCCCCATGGAAAGGGTGCTCAGGCATTGGAACTGCCCAGGGAGGTTTGGATCCCCGTCCCTGGAGGTGCCCAAGGGTCTCCTGGATGTGGCACTCACAGCTCTGGGCTGGGGACGGTGACAGGTTGCACTAGGTGGTCTCGGAGGGCTTTTCCAATTCCATGATTTTAGTGGTGCTGATGTCCCTAAAGAGCTGGGTCTGTGTGCTCTCCAGTCTTCACAGTTTGTGCATCTCTGAGGAACCAGACAGACAGACAGACAGACCCCCCATTTGCCAGCAGAAGTTTTTGTGGTGCCTTGCAAAAGTGAGGTTTGTGAGCCATCACTCTGAGAAGACCAAGGATGTCATTTCCCACCTGGGGATGAAGCAGCAGCTTGGTTCATTCTCTTTTTCAGTATCCTGCTTTATCATTTGGCTTCTGTGCCCTGAGACCATCAGAGGCAAGGATTCAGCATCCAGCTCTCCTGACAGAGCCCTGCAAACAGCACTCTGCATGGGACAGGGATTTCTGCTCCCTGCACTTGTAAATTGTCATTTGAATTCCAGCATGATGTAAAATTCTGCAGTAAATCAAATATCTGTTTAAATATCATCCACTTAGGCTTTATCACTGTACAATTGCTTGTACGGGCCATTTGAGCTGGGCTGTAATTTATGGCAGTTGTAATACCTGGTGTCTTCTGAGTTCCTCACAGTTTGGTCTTAGGGTTTATTAATGTAAAATTGAGTTCTCACTGTGCCATGGGGTGTGAGAGGTCGCTGGAGTGTTGATATTAATGCAGACCTTGCAACTTGCCTTCCTTGTCTGATCCTAAGTGCTGGGAATGATTAAATGATGGAGCCTTCTGCTCTGCCTTGGGAGAGGAAATGGTTCAACCTGACATCAGAAAATACCA